TATTGACAATAGATAAACCTCATTTATCATTTTTATCACAAAATTATTTTATTTATTACATATTTATATACTTTTAGTGAATTCTATCATTTAATAATAATCATTTAATAACAACAATATTTGTTGTTAAAAATGCATATAACATTCAAATTTGAAGTAATAAAATAATAATCTTTGTAACCGTTCATTTATCGATGAAATAAAATTGGGCTGTGATGTGTATATATATATGTATATGTGTGTATATATATATGTATATGTGTGTATATATATATGTATATGTGTGTATATATATATGTATATGTGTGTATATGTATATATATGTATATGTTTATATATGTATATGTATATATATATGTATATATATGTATATATATATGTGTATATATATGTGTATATATATGTATATATATATGGTCAACTTCTTTAAGTTATCCAGTATAATTTTACCTTGCGCACATCCATTTCGCGCCTATCCTTGGTAACTAACAAATCAAATGCACTTCAGCAATGCAGTAAAGACGGCACTTTAAAACAAAACTCCTCTAGTTGCGCTCAATTTGCGCTTTTGTTTGCATATTTTGCAATCTGGCAATTTTGTTATGCAATCTGGCATTCGTGAAAAATTTCCCGTTCATGTAAGTACATTTGAATTTGCTACTCGCTTTATAGATGAAACTTATGTTTCATTTATGTTTTAATGTTTTTTCTTTTATTTTATTTTCTGTTTTTGCGTGTTATTTTTACTTATTGTGTTCTATTTTATTTGTTGTAATTTTTGTAAAAATTTTTTTTGAGTGCACTTCACACTATTGTGTTAATATATTTTGCTTTGGCTATATTGATACAATATCAGAAAGCACTCTTTTTTGCGGATATAATCGTGTGAGCTGATGAAAAGATTATATCTTTTATTTTCCGGATTTTTTAAAAACATTTTATCCTTTTTTTTTTACCAGTTATGTTTTATTTTTTTTCTTCCCCTCTCCCCTTTTTTTCCATATGACTGTAATTTTCGTTTGTTTTATCTCTTCATTTTGAACATATATATATAAAGAAAATGCTAGCTTGTTAACTTTTTGGTTGGAACAAAAAAAAATTCTTTTCATTTTTTTGCTTGAAAAATTAGCAATTCTTGAGAATAAAGATTAAATTTTATTGGTATGAATTAGGTTCCTCTTTTTTATTTTTAATTTTTCAACCAATATGCATTAATTTTTTTTCAAAGTCACTCTTAGAATTTGTTATTTTAAAAACAATGATGTATTTTTTTTGTTGTAAAATTTAGGCTGGAAAACGTCAATGGAAGTGGTTTGATGAGCGTAGTGGTAGATGGAATATCTATACTCTTTCTAACAATAAATTAATTGATGATGCTTATAGAAATGGAGAAACACATTTAAGGTTTACAGCTGGGCGAAGGAATTATACTGTTCAACTCACTACAATGGTTCAGGTATTTCTTAAACTTTGCTTATTGGAGTAGGATGTTGTTCATGTATATATATATTTAAAATTTTCCCTTTTTGTATCTTTTCTGAGGGTAGAGAGGCATCTTAGATATGTTATGGTTCACTTGTGTCGTTTTCTGTAGGTATTCGTGAACTGTTTCTTGGGCAAAAATATATTTTTATTATGTAATATCCCATAAAAATGTCTTATTCTTCTCATGAAGAAAACTTTGTTGTAAAATCTTTTTTTCATTTTAATTCTTTTTTCTAAAGGTGGTGACTAGATGTAGTAGCTCACGATGTGCCTTAACAAAAGTTAAATAAAATGCTCTTACACCTAGGAAATTAGAAGAGATTCTGAATTTACAATGTTAACAGATAATAAAAATCAAAATAATCTGTGGAGAGATTTTTAAAAAAATCCTTTTTGAACATTTTTGCGCACGAAGTATGATATTTTGGAAAACGCGTTGTTTTATATCAATAGAAAGGAAAAAATGATATAATAATAATTTTTCAGTTGCAATTCTATTCAACTTTTATTATTTCAACATTTTATTGCTGATAAAATCTGAAAATGTAACATAATTTAGTTATATTTACATCAATTTAAACATGTAAAGCATTATATCTACAAACAGCGCTCAAAAGGTGTTCAGGATAATCCGGGTGATTTGCAGCAACCTTAAGATTTGCAGCAACCTTTCATTTCCCAGGAAGACTTTAAGAAATCAAAATATGGATTCCATTGCCTGCTCCCAAAAAAATGCTAACCCGTCACCGTTTTTGTCACAGAACTGTTCAATGTGAAAAAAAACTGCATGAACCTTTGGTGTATCACTGACACCTAAAACCATGTAGCTCTTTTTGAAAGCTTATATACATGCTTTGTAATTTTGGTCAAGATTATTTCCAAAGCATGCAGAAACCACGTTTTTGAAGTCTTCAAATACTTTAACATACTTCAGTATTGCTAGATTTTTAAACTGGCGCAAAAGGTCTACTTTATCCAAAAGTGTTTTGCATGCATTTCCTTTAAACCCAGAACATCCTCGTCTGATTTCTGGCTGAACGTGACAAGCTTTTGCCCATGTCAGTGATTCATTTTCACACTTTTTCAACATACGCGTGAAAACAGTGTTAAGAACAACACTAGGCATAGGGTGTAATTGTGGCGGTGGAATAATGTCTAGGAATGTTTTGCCTCCTGCAGTTGTAATTAGCGGTGGATGAATGCAATTGAAATAATCTTTCGCTTTGTTTTTTGAACCTTTTCCTTCAGTCAGCCAACTTGTATAATAAGATGAAAAATTTTTGAGGGATCTCAATTCGCCACAGCTGCTTAGCTAATCTTTCTTGACATAACAATAAGTGCATAGGTATGCGCTTATTGTTAACTGTTAGACAAATAGAGGCTAATAGGTATGAGGTTCGATTTTCGCTCGTCGATCTCATGCATTCAACCTTCGCCGGTGACGTCATGCTCTGCGAGGATCGGCCAGTTTATTTTCATTTGCTGTTGGTCGTTCTTGCGTGGATCATGACGTCACCCGTTATCTGTATTTAAGCTTCTGTTGAAGCAGATCATTTGGGTATTCTTTCTTTTCTTTTCGTTACTCTGTTCGTGAAATTTTTCATTACTAATGTTTTTAAGTAAACTCATTTCTTCAGAAACTTCGTTTCTCTTTTTGAGTTGACATACTGATATGATATTCTGAGAGAATCTCGGATGTCACTAACTTAAAATCGGTCGCAATTGTGCTGTGGCAAGGACTTATATTCAAAGCTGAAATGAGTTGATCTACATTCTTATAATTTTCTTGTGTACTCGGAACGGCTGCTAGAATAAATAGTCGTTTAACTCCAGAATCCTTAAATTTCCTTGCAGCTAACCCCTCATCATACTTAGCTCGCTTACCGCTGCACTGGAAGTCCAATTCATTTGATTGTGCAGAAAGACATATTTTTAAAAATCCACCTCCTTCATCAATACCAATTTTTAAGTGAACATCCTGTACATCTCGTTTATTTTTCACATGCTGAACAAAAGCAGGAACATCTTTGCAGTAAACTCCAAGCGCAGGAGCATCCAAGACTTCATAGCCTTTTATACAAACAAAAGAAAATTCCTAAAAATCAAAATAATTGTCGACAGAATGTGCTGTGATATTAAGTTTTGTTTTTAATCCTGGTTCAATTGCTTTTCTACTTTGTGTACACACACGAATGGAAGCTGCCATTTTTAAAGTTGCACGATCACTGAAATTCAAATCGCTTTTGATTTTCAACATATCATCCACAGATAATGTAGAGTTTGTTGTGGAATTTTTTTTTTCATTATTGCCTACTGCGATTTGAAGTGGTTTCCCGTGGATTTGCGACCACCGCAAAACTGAAGGCTCCTGATCACCCTTGGAATCTTTTAGTTTTCCTTTAATCACACGTGACATAATTTGATCCTCCGCTTTTAAAGGTGCACCTGATACAAAATTTGAAAGATTTATTACTCCAGATTTCAAACCACATTTATGTGGTTTGCCTTTTCCAATCTCACTGAAGCACACGTCGCACCATATTATCACAGACAGTTGTTTAGACTGGTGTAAAATAATAAATAAAAACAATAAAATGTGTAATTTAAGAACAAGCTAACAAAGGAAATATTTTTTGCATCGAAAACTGACCTGAAACGTTTTTTGCAACTTTGCCACAAATTTTAGCGGGTATTTCACGTGCAATTTCACAAATTTTGCAATCACATCTTGATCGCGTAGCCTGCGCAGGCTTAAAAATAGACAAATCTGGAGATTTTAATTTTTTTCTCAGTCTTCGCTTTAAATACTTTTCTTCTACACATACAACACAGCGGCCGGCAATCTACGCTCATCATCATAGTTGTCAACGTTATTTTTCATGTCAATTTTGAACTAATTCTCTAAAATATACATTTGTTTTTGTTTTCGAAAACACAGGAAACATACTTTACCCCGATTTTGATCGTGAGTCAAAGCTTTAGAAATCTTTCACTGAACAATTATACACGTTTTAACAGTTTTTTAGATACCAAACAATTGATTGATAATTCGCTCTGCGACACAAGGTTAAACTTGTTTTGTTAGATTTAATTTCCCAGTACTTGTGTCGCTAAAGTCGATTTTAAGTTTTTATTATTTTTGTTTTTTAAACAATGGCTTATCGACTATAATTAACAATTAATGAGCTTCTAATAATTATAAATTTATTATAAACGGTTATTATGAATATTTATTACAAATATATATAAATTTTTTCTAATTATAAGTATGAAATGATTCTAGCATTTTTGATATATCGTACTTTGTGAGCAAAAATGTTCAAAGTGGATTTTTTTTAAAAATCTCTCCACAGATTATTTTAATTTTACGATTTTTATTAGCTAAGAACATTGTAAATTCAGAATATCTTCTAATTTTCTAGATGTAAGAGCATTTTATTTAATTTTAGTTAAGGCACACCTTGAGCTACCACACATTTGGGACAGTTAGCTTATTGGTTAAGACAAAATTTCTGAACAATTAATATAATGTGTACAATAAATTAAATTCATAATTCATCATAATGATCATTAAATTTTAAATATTTATATAATGTATGCAAATAAAAAGTATGTATGTGAGCTACTCAATAAAATTCGTAATATATATAGCATAATTTTCAATATATGATTTCAAATATAGCAAGATCCTCTTGGACCTATAAGCTTTTTCTGGACATTATGCAAAAATCAAGAATATCTATTTTATATGGAAAAAATTAATCTAAAATTGTAAGGGACATTTTATGCAATTCAGCATTTTGAAGCTGTAGGTAATTATCAGAAATGTTATTTATAATTGTTGTAACTTATAACCAAACAACTTTAGCAAGGAAAAAGTATTTGGAAAAGTGAACAACTAAAAAATGATTATAGAAACACAGTTTGAATCTGCAACCATGGCTATTTGGTTTATCATACTTTTCAAAACTTAGACCAAGAATTTTTAGAAATTTTCAAAAGTTACAGGAGGGTTGGGATTATGACTGGATCCGTTAAATTTGTAAAACTTAAGCAATATCATCTACTAAATTATGTTTCTGTTTGTCGAGCATTTGCAATTAATTGCAAAATTGAAGAACAGACAAAATATATAAATACATAGAATAGATTAAAATAAAACTCCTAAAAAAAATTCTAAATTAAACACATAAAAACGATAATATAAAAAAAATATTTTTAGTGAGATTTTCTTTCACTTCTTATTTTTTGTCATAAAACAGCTAGTTAGCAAAGTTAAACGTGTTAGCTTCAGAATTTCTTTAGCTCTTGCTGTTAGTCTGTTTTACTCAGCCTTTTTGCAAAGTTGAGTGGATGATTATGTATATCGATACTGGTAAGTTGAAGGCTTGAGAGGGAGAAAGCAAAAGTTGTAAAGAAAGAATGAGCAGGGTTTTAAATGCGTTTCTATTTCTGAGCAAAGATAAACTTATATGGCTGGGTAGTCCAAAAAGGAAGTTGAAAGTTATCTACAAAGATAGTCTCTTATTTTTTTGTATTTGCTCATAATGGGTTGTAAGTTACATGGGTTATAGTTAGTGCTCATCATTGAATTTTGGGTAAATTTTTAAAGCAAACTCTCAGTTTATACATGGATAGACTTGTCTTTGATTTTCCATAAATTACAGATTTGTGTAGTAAAAAACAAATTATCTGAAATTCGACTAACAAGAAAGCTCGAGTTGCAATTTTTTTTAAAAATTAGTAAAAAACGAAAAAAAAAGATTTATTTTAATGATAGACTTTTGATTGTTAGGTAGAGAAAATATTAAATGTACCCAAAGTTTTAAAAAAAAACTGTTCTGCATCATCATCAAACAAAGTGTGTTATATAATTGATAAAAATGGTAATAAAGAATTATGACTCAAAAAGCTTTCTAAATTTCTTGTATGCAAGTTTTTTTAAAGCTATAATCCAGTCTCTTTCTTTTAACTCTATTTTTACAGAAATTTATCGCACAAATTATTCTCTTTAATGAGTAGTGAAAGATTTATTACCATGTGCAGTACTTTTCCTGAAAATAGGGTCATTATAAACCAAATCAATTGCCGCGCATGCCTAATCAATTATTTACTGTATTATTGTCAAGAGTGACATTTGCAGAGCAAGAAAACATTAATATAATGTTTTTGTTAAAATATTGGCATTTAAGCTTTTATGGTAGGTCAAACTTTGTTCTTTTGGGCTTATGTTTCCATACTGATGTTTTGAATATTTCAGCTATGATTTAATAAATGACTAATATAAAAATAATAGTTATTTCCGCTGTGCTGTAAGAATGTGTTGATCATAAAAGTGTTAAGGGATTGAGAAAACATGATCTTTATTACAGTGAAGTTATAAAGTGATTGTCTTTGTCACAAACTAAAATTAAAGATTTATTGGGAAATAAAACAGATAAAGTATCTAAGTTGATGATTAAATTGAAGATTTTTAATAAATAGAAAGAAATAGTGAAAACTTTACTTTTTAATATAAATAATTACATTTGTACTGTAATTTTTTATCACTGCTAAATATTGTGTTAATTGTTTCCAGATTAATGAAGAAACTGGTAACTGGCGTCCAATAATGTTAACAACTGATTTTAAAGAAGAACAGTTAAAAACAGATAAACCTAAAGCTGATGCTAAAGATAAAAAAGATGAAGCAGAAGAAGATTCTGATTTGGTTTCAGATAGCGGCAGTGTACAAAGTCTTGACATGTCATATTTGCATCCAGTACCTGTTCACATGAAAGTTATTAAAAGGTTGAAATCTAATCAATGCAGAAATCTTGTGAGGTATATATATCTACATATTTTTAAAAATCTTGTTGTCTTCAAGTTCTTGCTTCTGGATGTTGTATCTTGAGATTTTGATTCAAATATTGCTTAAAAATTTTAATTTCTAAAATTTATTTGTCAAGCTTATCAAATATTTAATTTATTTAGGAAATGCTTGTAATTTATTTTATGAGGTATAGTGAAGTTAAGTATTATTTGTGATGGATAATTGGTAATTTATTATTACAATATATGTTTAATAGGAAGGCAAAATAATTATTAACTTTGAATTCTGAACTTCGGTGAGACCTAGTTATTTAATCAATGATACAGTAAAATACAGTCTTGCTTTTTAGTTTCCTTTCAAGTGAGAGGTTAGAAGCTGACTATTTCTAACATTAAAAGAAAATAATTTTACCTTGCAACAGTTTACAATGAGCTTAAAGTGGATAAGACAGAATTATCCAGTTTTTCTGTTACTAAAAGCATGTATTAAAAAAGTACTAAAAAAAGTGTATTTTGTTTAAAGTTTAGAGCTAGTAACTTTTCTGTTTTCACATTTTTTTCCAAAGTTACTTTTTTTAAATATGATTCTTTATTAGTTGTAACGTGATTGTTTTATTAATTTTTAAATTAAATCTGTTACAGCTACTTTTATTAAAGCTGTTTAATTGCATTAGAAGCAATCTAATGTATGCAGAGTCTCCAACTACTGCGGATCAAGGATGATTGTATTCCAGGTTTTTCGTATTGTACTTACAGGTCTAAAATGTAAGAGCAAGGCATATGATTTTTCTGGGAATATTGCGGAATTTCGAGTTTTTCAAGATCATTGTTTCTCGGACTTTCGCTAATCAAAAACGTCTTATTCCGACAAAATTTTCACTGAATTCCGCCATCTCAAATTCAAATTTAGAAATTTTCACTACTTTCTGTTAATGAGATGCTTACATGCACACAATTCTTTCGATTAACAATTTTACAATTCTACAATTAAATCAATTTTGCTATTGGTATTAACGAATTTTTTCTTATTTATACATTTTCAAAGTTGAATATTGTGATTTTGTATTCACACCTTTGTAATATCAAACATCGATTTTCGTTTGGGGATTTATAAAGGACAATGTTCACAGGACGATCGTGTCGAACACTGATGACCTAAGAGCCAGAATTACAACCGCAATAGCCTCTGTGAATGCCGACATGTTTGCCGCTACCTGGCGTGAAATTGACTATCGACTTGATATTCTCCATGCGACGAAGGGGGCACACGNTATGCTGCGATTACGCGGAAAATTGTAAATTATGCGGATAATTGTGAATTATGCGGGTTTCCGCATCTTCCGCATCTTCGCATAATTTATAGGGCCCTATTTATGAGTTATTAAACATCCAAATGGATGTGGGACTTTATAAACATCCCATATATCTTTCAGTAAATTATGTCATATACGAAACATACATGATATATAAATTAATATCTTGATATGAATTTATATTATAAAATTAATTATAATTATATGGTTAATTTTTTTGTATACAAGTTTCAGGGTTTTTCACTTTGTGTCACAGTTACCCCTGGCAGATTCTCCATAGATTCCTGCCAAATTTCACCTATCACTATAAACTACGGGGATTATGATCCATTTTACAACAAAGTTTAATTTTGATAGTTTTTTGGTCATTGTGTTATGGTTTTTCTAAGTCCAATATATTTAATGCAATATTGTGAAATGCGATATTTCAAATGTAAAATATTAGTTTTGACGTGCTAGATTCACATAAAATCAGTCGTAAATCCTTGCTTTTCATTCGTCTATCGGTTGCTATTTATTGTTTTTTGAGAAATTTCCCAAAGGTTTATCGAATTCCAATGTGCTTGATATGGGGCGTTATTTACGCCTATAGTTATCACTTTTCATGCGACTATTTCATTATAAGTATGTGATGAAAGTATCAAAGAGTAAGAAAAGTATGATTTTTTTCATGGTGTTGAGTGTAGTTATTTACTTCTGATTTATTTGTAATTTAATTAATCAATCATGCTTTTATATTCTGATTTTAAAATGTTTGCTTTTAGATTTTGTGTAATGCTGATGAAAGTACCCTTGGAACCAGACACTCTTCATGCTATAATGAGACTCTGTTTAAGATTAACCAGAAAGCACTGTAATGCTATTATGTTTGCCACAATGGATGGACCCAAAACTTTATTATCTCTAACTCAACCTTATGCGTTTGTTGGATTTACTTCAATAACTGCTTTGCTCTTTCGTCACATATTAGAAGACTCTCACACTTTGACATACACAATGGAAAAGGTATACATTAACTCTTATAATATTTTAATTTCGTATGCAATAATTTTAAATATATATAATAGGAAATATTCATGCTCCTTTAATGCATATGTTTTATGCCTTCCAACTATTTTGAAATTTTCTTAGTTGCTAGGAAAACTTGTAAAATAATGAGTTCTGGATTTTAAGTATAAACTACAGATTGAACCAAAATTGTCGTAAATACTGACTTTTCTATACCCTCATCCATCATGTTTTTGTGCAAGCAACTTTTAATGGAAGTAAGGAAGAAGTTTCTTTCCTCCTGTTGTGATTGTGTAGCGGAATTAACGCCATGACTAACTAATGGTGCTTGCTTAATGATGCCAGTAGGATTATTTGTTTCACATTTCTCCTTCTAGGTATTTGATTCATATTTCTTTTTTGTGGAAAATGAAATGAGGTAAATGAGATTTTTATTTGTTTCAGAACTTTTAACTCCAATTTTCATAAGTCTTGAGTGTTCATGCTTATTTACATCTGAGCATTTTATTGGTTATATGTAAATTGCTATGAATTGTTATTTGAAACATCCGCATTAAGTTGCCAAAGTAGAAAAGCATGGAGAGAAAACAATCAGAAATTTAAAGAGGGGTATTCAAATTGATGCATAGTGCTTGGAGGTGATAGAACTGAATATTCTGTTGTGCATCATGAACAGTATGGCTATAGATAATATTTATAATTAAAACTGTTATTTGTATGCAATATATTAAGACTAACTATTCGAGTTGAAGTTAGAATTAAAATACTTTTGAATTAGACTTAGAGGTTATGCAGCTCCGAAGAGCAGGGCGCATCAACCAGAGGTCTGTTGCTTTTGAATTATCTGAGAATTTAATAACTGTTGAATTTTTCAAATATTTGCTTTCTAATTTTCCGTGATCAGATTTTTCTGCCTCTTTATTTTTTCACCAAAAATCATCTTTATTTTATTTTATTTTTTTGTTTATTTTTTTTTTTTTAACAAAAATTCAATTTTCCACAGAAAAATTACATTTTTCTGCTTTTTTTGAAAGGTTTATTTAATAAACTACTGCTGAAAAAATATTGTAAAGCAATGTCAATTTTTTACTGCATTGTCACAATTCATGTATGATAGCGAGATGCTCAAATTTAAAATTCACATGTCTATATAACATTGTTTAAAAACATCAGAATTTGAGAAAAGCTATGTATAAATAGACAAAGATTGATAGCTGTTTAAAAAAAAGATGAGAAAACTGTGGATTTACGATGAAATCGGCACAAACTGGCACATCAAAAAATCACAATGCAAATGCACACTCTCAACCATAATTCCAAATTTGAGTTTCATAATAGTAAGGCATTGTAATTTGTGAAATCGCGTAGATTTGCAAGAGAAGTCGCTGTATTTTTTTCTTAATATATTGGAATACTTAAAAGGCAAGAGAACAGTAATTTTTTAATATTGTTTATTTTAGTCAATGTTAATCATTATTAAACAGTAATATTTTTAAAATGTTCAGTTTTTAGGAGAATACTCAACTAAGTTTCTAACCTTTTATGTTTGCATTATGTAGTTTTCAATGTAGTTTCCTCAATGTTATTCATTCAAATAATGTATTCTGGTTACCATATAGAATTAAATTGCTTACTTTCATTTTAAATTTGAATGTTAGTTATTAAATAATATTGACAAATAAAATTTGTCACCTGGGTCTTTTATTTATCATAAAGTTTTTTAAAAAACAAAATGCATTTATATTCACGAAGCAGCTACTAGATACCTTTGACTTTCGACCACCATGAATAATTTTTGATCTAATCATTTGATTTTCATTCTCAATCTTAATGATTCAAGAGGGTGGTTTTAAATATTCTAATTAATTTGTGCAGATGATATTTTAAGTTACAGAATCGGATACAAAAACTTTCTTTGAATGAACATAATTTTTTTTCTCTACGGATTTGAATTTCTGACCCTCAAAATAAAGATGGTATCCACTATCTGGGAAATTAGTTCTCAACATTTTGCTAATAATCCTGGCTTTTCCAGCTCGGATTATTCATTTTTATTTTTCAAAATTTAAGATGAAATCAATTTTCAATTTTAATATGCATACTATATTTATTTTGCAAAATTCTGTCTTAGATAAGATGCTTTATTTTTAATCCTATTAATAGGTTATAAGATCTGCTACAGTAAGTGGGCCATCATCTTTACTAGTATCTAAAGAAATGCACTATGTGTTTAGAGTTTTGGGGCCAGCTGCTTGTAGAGATCCTGATATTTTTACTTCTGTTGCATCTAGTACTCTAAGATTAGCAACTTTGCCCCTTTCAAAACGAGGTAATTTTTTAAAAATGTTATATTTAATGAAATAATTATTGAATTATGTTAACGTTAGTGTCTTTTGAATATTTTAGCAGTATTTGTTCAAATTAGTCGTAAAAAATTACACAAAAGAAATAAATGTTTTGTTTCTTTCCTTATTAGTTTACTTTTTTGTTAAATTTTTTTTCATGTCAATCATTTTTTCCCCTGCAATTCTAAATATTAACTATTAACTTATGAAGGTAACATGCTCAGTTTAAAGAAAAGAATGTACATATTCTCTTGCTATATTTATAAATGTGAGTACATTAAACCACCAGAATTATAAACATTGCTTAACAGTAATTGAATGCTCTTAATTTTTTGATACTTGACTCTGTCTAATAGTATTTTTAATTTTTCAAACATGGTAATTTAATATTTAAAACAACTTTTCCCAGTGTAAGAAATAAGTCTTAGGGAACATCTCCATAAATTTATCTCTACTATTGAAAATTATCTACTTTAAATGCTTTATTCCCCCCTCTTTAAATATAAGTCAGATATATGCAAATAGAAAATAAAATCAATAATTTGAACCACTATTAAACACTGCTTTTGTAAAAATCAAGTATTATCTTTGATTTAGAGTTTGATTATCCAAATTCTTATATTTGAATTTTCTGATTTATATTAAGTTTCTTTTTTATATTTTAGTCCTTACTTTTTTATTCTGCTTATTCTTGTAAACATGGATTGTATGACCCTAGCATAATTTCTCCAGTACAAGTTGTCGATTGAAAGAACTCCCCTCACCACAAAGTCTGGGATTGTCTGTTGCTATTTAAACAAGAAATATCACATTTCAATGATAGAAATTTCTCTCCGATCCTAACCAAAACCTGTCTTAACCCACTGACGGTTCTGCACGTAAAAAGTTGCATTTTAAACTGCAGTCTTCTCTGCGTAGCAAAACCGGTTTTTCCATGTTAATGGATAGGGGAATAGTGTATAGGGGAGAAACATTCTCCCAATTTTGCCCATTTCCTTAACCGCCAGTGGGTTAAATATTAGACAAACGCCCCGATTTGAAATACTTAAACCTGGTAACCATAGTCACCACCACTGCTCCAGGTGAATGACAAGGTGAGTTCTTTCGATAGACAGAATACAGTATTTCAGGGTGGCCACCCACCTGGAAAACCTTGAAAACCTGGAATTATCAGGGAATTTTTTTATACTAGAAAAAACTNGTAGAAGCCTTTGATCTCTATGCAGACTATGGGACTGTGCAATTTTTGAAAGGCAAAGATTATGGTGGTTGTGGAAGACGGGGTTAGGATATTTCCTTCGGTTTTTAAATTCTGTCCGTGGGTTTGTTCACAATGTTTCAAGATAGTTCGCAATTGAGAGTGGTAATTTTTTTCTATTTTGACAAAATGAGTCAATATGTTTTTGTATTTTTAACTTTATTAAATTCTCTAAAAATTAGTTGGTTATAATTTAATAACGATGGATTTTATATTTCACTCTTTTTCTGAAAGCTTTTGAACTCAAAGAAATCTGTAAATTATTTTTTCTCAGCAAACCAACAAATCACGCATTTTCCCCCATCACTAACAGCAATGTTTGTCGACAAATTGTTACAATTCTTGCATTAATGCGAATTTTTTCTATTTCATTTTAACCTTTTATAACATATTTTAATTTTAAACAAAAAAGGCTCCTTTGTTGGTCAATATATGATTTTTGATTCAAAATTTTGTGCCAAAACATTAAAAAATAAATAAAAAATCTTGAAAATTGTCAAAATAAATTATTTTTTTCAAGATGATATGTTAAAAAAAATAACATTTTGAATAAAATATTTTATAATATAGACACTTTTCTTGTACACATCCTATACTTTATAAGAAAAAAGAAGCAAAAACCTGTAAATTTTAAAAGTTTTATCTGGAAAACCTGGAAAAATCAGGGAAATTTGAAATCTGATTTGAGTGGCCACCCTGTATTTTCCTTTCTTTCTATTTTTCTTCTTTTTTTTGTCAATTGTAGTTTAACTCTGCTTAATTTCTTGAGTGTGTAATTTAGTTTGTTTGTGGCAGTATATAAAAAAGGAGCTTGATCTTGTGGCTCTAAACGTTTTATTTTCCAACAAATAAAATTTTAGTTTTATAGCTAATAATTGAGCAGAACAGAAAACTCTTCGCTGTCACTAGTGAAATTCAATAATAGTTTCTAAAAAATATTTGCCTTTAAGCAGATTTTTTTAAAAATTTAGATTTTCACTGTATTTTTCATATTTTAGATGATGATGATTCTAGATTTGGAAACAGTTCTGTCCAAATGTTAAAGTCTTGTCCTGCTAAATCGCCATCTAGTCAGACTGAATATATGTATGATGCAGAAGTAGCAAACAATCTTATATATGACCTTTTAAATGCTTTAATTGCTAAGCCAGTTGAAGTACCTGAAGATGGTAAAAATTTCTTTATTTTAAAGTTTAACCTTTTAACTAATTTATAATATCTTTTAATGTCAAGTGTCCGTGGCTGGGAACTTTTTGTTTAAATTTTTAGAAGTGTGATAAAAATGGGATTATTATTATTGTAATGCAATGCAGATTATAGCCATATGTTCTTAAGGCTAATGTAATCTCAAGCAGATTGTAATATTTTTCTATATTTATATTAATTACTAAATTATTTTTACATAATTTCTTTGCAGACACAAGCTCTTCAGAGTCAGCAGCTGAAACATTAACAGCTTCAACTGAACAACAATCACCAGCTCGAGAGAATGCAGCTAATGATCTTCTTCCTAATGATGAAGATGATGGTTTGGTAAGATCCTGGGTATATTTGGAACATTCTTACTATTCAATTTGAGTGTTCTACATTATTAAATAATATATATTAGCAGGTTACGTAATCCATAATAATCAATATTCATGTATTAAGTAAAATTTTCACAAAGGCTTTCCTTTTTTATAATTTATTTTTTATAGAAATATCTGAAATTTTATTATTCGTGAAAGTTGCTCTAAAAGAAACTGTGGTGACTTGTTTTAAATAGAAATATCAAAATGAGTATTGTTAAAAGTAAAGCCCTAGAAGTTATATGAAACTATTATAATTTTAAATTTTAAGTGTGCAGGTATGGCAAGACTTAAACTAAAACAGAAAAAACCCTATTTAACAAAACTTAATCCTTGAAATTTTCTTTTAAAAATTTGACTGTACCAGGATACAACTCCTTCACAGTCTACTAAACTCAGCACAGAGAGCACTTGCTTTTCTTTTCTTTAAAGTTCTAAAAATCTTTCTGACACTACCGCTGAATTTTTGATTAAGTCCAGGTCAGAACACTTTTTTAAAAAGCAGCATGCTCGAATTTTATTGTTAGTTCTCAATTGCTGCTATATTTTTGAAGTTTGTCTCTATGAATATTTAAGTTGGACATTTGTTCTGTATCAGTAGCTATAGTAGTTTTCATGAAGCTTAATGCTAGTTGACAAACCTTCTGTCCTTTATTGAGCATAGTCAGAGATGAGTTGTTCAAAGGATTCTTAGAATCGAAAAAAGTTCAGTAGCATGGGAAGAAAACCTTAAAGATAATTTATCTGGTAAATCAAGATTTTTTTTCTGAAAAATAATAATTATGTAAATGTTAGGTGATTTTGTGAACAATTGCAAATTATCGATGTTATCCTCCTTTTTGCAAATTTGTAGAGCTCTAATTATAAACTGATGAGTTTTTTTTCTTTTTGGCAAAATTTTGCTTGTTTAATTTTTCCAGAATAGTAAAATTTGCTTTAAGAAACTAAATAATTTTTTAAAGCTTAATAAATCTATTCTACTTAAAAAAGCCAACATTTAAATCAAATATTTTTTTTTATAAGAAAATTATTTGATTTATACCCAGGCTGTAAAATCTTTGATGGTGTAGTAATAATAGTGTTTTATCCAACTTTTCTATGATTGTTTTGTGCAGGCATGATTCACTGAGTTTTGCATGAAAGTTTGACAATAGCCTGAACTAGTGTTATAATTTTAAAAAAAATTATTATTATTTTTTTTTTTTGATTTAGAGAATTGTGAAGACAAAATATTTTTAAGGAACTCTTTTGCGATACTTGCATAATTGAAGAAAAATATGCGAATCTAGTAAATTTTTCAGGAAAAATCTTGATATTTTATGATGTTTCTTTTTTTTAAAAGTAATTTATGACTTTTTTCTTCATTAAAACGCATAAAATGAACTTATATGGAAATAAATTTTTTAAGAAACCTTTTGATATTTTTAATATTTTTTTGAAGACGGAACTTCTGAATATTTTTTTTCAACCTAAGAAGAAAAAAAAAAGCTAGGCCTAAGGCTCATTTTCATTTTTAAGTATGTGCATAAGAATTTATTTTGTAAAATATTCAAAAATTTTTTAAATTGAGTTTTGCGCATAAGATATTTAGATTTCTGCTTTCAGCTATTTCGGTTTTCACAAACTCATTCCTGTATAAGGTATTTAATAATTTCATTTGTAGTTAATTATAACTAAATAGAAGCATAGTACATATTCATCTAAAATTTTATCCTGAAGGATTGATATCAGGATTTGTTCACTTTTTCCTTATAAATTTATCTTCATGATAATAAAACAAAATTTATTGACCTGAATTCATTTGTAATAAATTGAAAGTATAGCATCTTAATTAAATAGAATTTGGTATTTAATTTAAAAAACCTAATTTTATGCTTTTTAGAAACTTATTTGAATAACTTTTGAATTGTATGGATGTAACTTGCTGATATTCTTATTTTTGCTTTTTCAAGTCTTTTATTCTTTTTGTATGTTTTTCAGATTAAAATATTTAGTGTATTTTTTGCATATATTTATGTATATTAAGTTTATAAAGCGATTCTGCTTGCACGCTATACTGTAACAAATATGCCTTAAATTGTAGGTTAACATAAAAATAAAGTTATGACACTAAATTTCTGCAGCAGAAAAAAATTAGACCAGTACCACCCATTTGTTTTGACCCGTGCAAAATTAACATATCTTTAAAACAGAATTTTTTTATTTATTTATAACCATCAGAAGAATAAAATAATTTTGTGAGTATTAAACTATGTTGTTGCGTTTTCTCTGTACCGGTGTTTGTTAGTTGTATACGACTAAAAGTCCTGATTCTTTAAATGCAGCTTATTTCTTGTTTGTATATCAGTAGATGGATTTCCCATGAATGCACATATTTATTAGATAAAGAGGGATAGACTAAATTACTTTCTTAATATCACAGATAATTTTTCTTTTTACTTAAAAATCTTAGACTTTCTCTTTTTCTTTAATTTTAAAGCAATTATTTAAATTGCAAACTTAATTTATTTCATACAAATTTTTGTAATTTAATAAGATTTATGATTTTAATCCTTAAATTTCTTTAAAAAAAACATATTAAAAAAATTTAAACCTGAGCTATTTGCTCTTCATGTGTATCTTTAAAATGATAATCTGTACTTATTTTTTTTTAATTAAGACCTCCGATAAAAAAAAAAAAAAAAAACCAGAAATTTTAAACTACTGGTTCTTGCAGGCCCATAGTTTCCAAAATCTGGGGGCATCACTGAATAAATTCAGACTGTTACAAAAACGATTAATTTTCTTAAATTAATATGCATACCACCTTATATTGTGTCAAATGATATTATTCTAAAGTTGACCTGAAAATTTTAAACAATTATTAAGATTTACAGTCAGCTCAAACACATCTTAGTTTGTCTTTTTACACATATTTTTAATTAAATATATAAATTTATAAAAAAAAATGCTAATTTAATTTTTTTACTCTAACTTTCTCATTGTATTTCTAAATTATAATGAATTATAAGTAGTATTTATTATAGTGTAAATGATCCCATTATTTGGAATCTAAGGAACGGAAATGGTTCTGGGTCACTAAGACTTAGACTTAGAGGTTGGGCAGCTCCAAAGAGCAGGGCACATCGACCAGAGGTCTATTGTACCCAAACCTTAAATCATGATTAGCAAGAAAGCCCCTATAGCTGAAATAAAATTATGCCAACACCTTACATGAACGTCCTGCAGTTCCCAGGTATTAATGAAGTGCTGCCCCAAATTCACAAATTTTTTGAGCAGAATAGACCTCACGATCACAAAGTATATGACATGATGTCTCTTCTTCAAGATGACAACCTTGACAAAGAGAATTAGATTCAATTCCCATTATGTAATAGGTGTCTCCTGAGGACGCAGTGTCCAGTAAGAAGACCAATGATCTTCCTGAAACTGTTTCTATTAAGCTTTAAAAGCTCTTTTTGACATACACTAGGACAGTCACGATTCAGCTCCTTGGCTTATCTCTGACTGTCAGCGACGCGCCATTGCTCATAGGCAATTTTGCTATACGGCTTGAATTTAGATGGATCACTAAAGAATATCAGTTCTAAATCATTAACAATATTTATTTTCTATGCTAGAAAATTATTCTTTTCAAAATAACTTGAGAAAACAGCAATAAAAATGTTTTCCTTATTTCTCATATTCTGGAAGGCCAACTGCAACCAATTGGCTGTGCATTAGGTAAATTAAAATTTCTGAGGATTTGAAAAAAAGAAAGAACTGCTGGCCGTAAATGTGATTTTTCAAGAAATTCAAATATCATACTATTTGACAATTTTCTTTAAATTGTGAATGCAGTAATTGAATGAAATGTGCTTTGTGCTCTTTTTTGAAAATTACTGTTATAGTTTAT